CCTTGGCCGCACGTTCTGTTTCTTCCATTGGTCTCCCTCCTGCCCAGGGCTGGTGACTCACTCTCCTCCCTGCTCCTCACTATCAAAGCAGCCTACTCATTTATTCAAATCTGGAGTCCACTATCTGTGCAGCCCTGGAGGTAATTTTCCACCAAATTTGTCACCATGGCAAGGATTTCAGAAGTACTTATGCCAAAACATTGGAGAAGAATGACGAGGTGGGAGGGAGAGAAGAAGGAGACACCACTGACCTTTCCGGAGCCTTTGCCTTGCTCCGAGGTCTGCGGTGAACACGCGGTAGCGTGGTCTAGCTCGGCCTCGCAGGAGTCCTGAGGGGTCACTGGTGTCCTTTGACAGATGAGCAAACTCAGGCCTGGGGACGCTACGGAGCTGGTGCTTACAGTGACACATCAGGCAGGGGCGGAGCCAGGACGAGACCCAAAGCCTTGTACCTTTCCCTTAGGCTACGAGTCTTCCCAGGAACCCGAGGGATGTGTCTCTGAGGCTGTCATCGTAGGTGGCTGCCAGGGCTGCTTAGGTTGAGGGCCAGCCCAGCCTTCAACTCTGGACTAGCGGCAGCCCCAGCGCTCGCCTGGAGAGCAAGCCCCACGGCTTCTGGCCCGGCCTGACATCTCAGAAGCTCCCAGGGTCCCAGTACACAGTAGGTCTTCAGTTCATTGATCTGAGTCCATTTCTTAGTAAAGAGTTAGGGTGCCGCTGTCCTCTGGGCGCTTGCCATGTGCTAAGGACCTCAGGTACATTTTCCCACTGAATCCTGCGATGGCCCCAAGTCCCACTTCCCAGACCCGGGAGCCAACATGCAGAGCTGTGCAGACCCCTGTGCACACCACCAGGGAGTGACAAACGGGGACCCAGGCATTCACTCCACCAAGTCAAGAAGGCCCGGGGGGCACACAGTAGGCCCTCTGGGAAGGTCCTGGACTGGGTACAGTCTTCTGAGCCACCTGTCCAAGGAAAGAAGCCCTTTGGCTTCCAGCCCTGGTTTTTTAACCAGGTCCTAACACGGGGGCTCCTGGCTTCAGGACACGGAGCTGGCATCCAGAGGCCCAGGGCAAGGGAGCCACTGTCTGGTCACAAGGGCAGACTCTTGAGGCCCCCATACCTACGTTGCTCCCCAGCCCAGGGGTCCCACACAGGCCCATCCTGTTCCCTGAGAGCAGAGGCTTCTGTTTGCAAAGCCAGTCTCCTTTCCCGTTTGCTTTTGGAATTAAAACCCAAAAATCCACAGGAGGCTTGCGGCTCCCACTGAGGCCAATCAGGCCATTTCCAAATACTGGATGAGCTGTTTGTCACCGGCCTGTTCTGGAGCAGAAGATGGGGGGAGGGTTTGGAGCGCTGCCCCGGCCTCCAGGGGACCTTCTGCTGATTGCCGTCTGTGGATGGAAGCAGGTGTTGTAGAAGGGGCCTCGGGGACATCCCTGTCCCTGCTGTGTCTTGGAGCTGTGGGTCCAGGAACTTCCGCTTCCTGTGCATTCTGATCTGGCGGGCTGTGTGGGGTGAGGTGCGGGATGGGGTGAGGCACTGGCTTCAGGTCTGACTGGTGGCTGGCCACGCCCATGACCTCTGGGCTGCGTGTGGGTTACTGAGCTGCTCTGTAAAGGCTGGGAATGATGGCGGGGACGGACGGGGGATCCAAAGACCATCGAGGAAGAGAAATGGGGACGAAAGAAGGAAGGAGAGGGTCAGGTACAATGTCACCATGGGGGCTGGGGCTGGGGCTGGATTAGGTCATGACCAGGGTTTCCAGGAGGGGTACCTGGTCTCCATTGACCGGGAGACACCCTGTGTTGGGGTGTCCCAAGGCCCCTCCCAGAACACCTGCCTGCACTTGCAGAAACGCCAGGCTGAGGGGTGTCCGCACAGGGCATGGACGGTCTCTCCAACAGGACTGTAGGGACTTCACGTGCAAGAGTGAGGCCCCTATCACAGGGAGCACCCAAGAAAGGATGGGGGACCCTGCCTGGGAGACTGTGGCAAACAGACTTTAAGATGATCCCCAACAACCCCACCTCCTGGTTCCATGGTCCTGTAGAATCCCTTTCCCCCTAGTGTGGGCAGGACCTGGGGCTGGCTTCTAACCCACAAGATGCAGCAAAGGGGAGGGGTTATGTATAGGACTCTGCCCAGCAGTCAGGACTAGAGATTCTCCCTGTGGATTGGACAGAGGAAGTGACCCCTTTCCTGGAGAATTGCCCATGAGTAGAGACTGCAGGCAGACTCTAAGATCCAGGGGGACCTGGGGCCCTCTGTCCTGCATTCGCAAGGAATGACCTCTACCAACAGCCCAGGTTTGCATGGAAGCTGATGCTTCCCCTGTCGAGCCTGCAGATGAGAACACAGCAGACCCACATTGTGACTGCTGCCTCGGGAAGGCCCAGCAGAGGACCCGGTGCAGCCCTGCCGACTCCTGACCCAGGGAGCCTGGGAGATCCTAACACTGTTGCTTTAAGCCCCTCGGTTTGGAAGAATCCATTATGCAGCGACAGAAGATAAATATGGACACCACGGAGGGGCAGGACACTTGGTCCAGCCTGCGTCTGCCCTCCAGGGGCTGGTCTTCCCCCAGGGCAAGCAACCCCAGAGATCAAAGTAGATGCTGCCATGTACTTTGTGACCTAGGAAGCCACCCAGGGTCACTTCCACTGTGCTTAGTGGCTTATGCAGGACCAGTCTGGATTCCATGTGGGAGGGTCATGCCCGGGGCGGGGGGGGGGGTGGCATATGCCAGGAGGCAGGGATCCCCAGGGGCCTGCTGCAGCGGGCTCCTGTTCTGTTCTTCTTGCCGTCCTTGGTGTGCAGAGCCAACCTCCTCCCAGTGTCCCTCTCAGTCTGAGATCTCCACAGACCTGAAAGCCAAAGGTTTATGGGGCCTGAAGCCTATGTAACTTAGAGGATCTCCTCGGGATCAAGACAAAAAATATCTTTTTTCAATTTTTCCTAATCCCTTGGCTACTAAGATGTCACGAGAGGGCCATCTCAGGGGATCAGGAGGAGCCACACAGACAAAGGTCCTGACCTTTTGGTGTCACCAGGATCATAGTGAATTCCCTTTGTCCCTCCGGGTGCTCTCTGTGGACCGAGGACCCTCCGTGGCCTCGGTCTCCCTGAGTCACGTGTACAAGGAGATGCTAATGTGTCTTCAGCCACAGGGGCTGGGTCGTCCTCCAAAGCCCTTCCTGTGTGCTCCCTCTTAGATAGCCATCTGCATGCTCCAGACGCTGTGGTGATTCTGAGCCAGACAAGGTCCCCGCTGCCTCCTACTCTACGTCATAGTGGGGTGGGATGGCAGACACCGGCAGCCAGGAAAAAATTCTAAAGATACCTTGAGCCAGAGAAGGTGCCATGGAGAAAGCAAGCCAGGCCGGGGCTGGAGGAGGCCGTCTCTGAGCCTGGCACGAGGAGGAGCCAGACATCAGAGGACCTGGGACAGCCGTGATCCTGGCAGGGACAGGGGCTGAGACCCTGAGGCCAAAATCGGGGCTGGGGCTTCAATAGTGAGCAGAGGCTGAGGTGGCTGGAGTGTGTGCCCAGGGGAAGAGGTGGCAGTGGGGACAGAGAGGCGGGACAGGGAAGGACAGGCAGGATGTCACAGAATGGGGCAGAGGCTGGGCTTCATTTTTCTTCAGGTCAAATTCTCCCACGTGGAGACCGACCATCTGAAAGAGCCCAAGGTCGGTCCTGCCATCTGGTGCATTCATTCTGGTGCCCACGCACCTAGTCCTGGGTTTTGTTCTAAGTCAATGAGATGCCACTGGAGGGGTCTGGGGGGGGGGGTGCTGCATTTGTGTCCCCTAGAAGCACCTGTGTTTCTTCCAGAACATTCCAGACCACAGCTCTTCTCTCTCACACAAGACTGGCCCCAAACTCTGCCTTCTCTGTTCTTGGGAACAAATCAGCGGAGAGGGAGGAAGTCAGAATCAGGGAAGGAGAGGTGGGATTTTCATTTCCAACTCTGAGTGTCAAAGGCAATTTCTTGCGGACGCATGAAGGGAGCAGGGAGAGTCATCGAAACTGGTGGCTAATGGGTGCTGGCTCCTGAGGTTTGGGAGGTACTGATTTTTTCCCTAATGGGGAAAAGAACTTCCAGGGGTGTTCAGCCCTGCATTCCAACTGGGTGCTGCTCCTCAGCACCCTGGGTGGGTCCCACGGTGTGAGGGGAGAGGACATGATTTTGCCACAGGCCACAGCATTGACTGCTCCCAGCAGCCTCTGCTCTGCTAGACCACCTGCTTTCTCTAGCCTCAGTCTCTCCATCGGGAAATAAGGATAAGGACAGTCCCCGCCTTGTAGGGTGGTGTGAGGACTCGGTGAGGTGATATGGGCACCCTGTAGGAACTACGGCAGTGTCTGCTTTTTAAAAAGGAGATGAGCACAGGGAGGAACCCAAATGTTACTGGAGACTTTGGGGCTGGGAGCCTGGATGTTATGTGAGATCCAGAGGCACTGGGGTCATCCTGGGACCCAGGGCTGTGACTGCCAGGCAGGGGTCCAGCTGTGGAAGTCTGCTCCGGAATCTTCCTGAGAAGGTCATTACCTTCCTGGTTCCCATGAGCTTGCAGCCAATGTTCCTTGCAGAGCACCTACAGGTGCAAGTACTTAATAAAAACTCCCATCAGATGTAATCCCAGCAGCTTGGGAGGCTGAGGCAGGAGGATCGTGAGTTTAAAGCCAGACTCAGCCACTTAGCGAGGCCCTAAGCAACTCAGCAAGACTCTGTCTCTAAATAAAATGTAAGTGCTGGAGATGTGGCTCGGTGATTAAGTGCCCCTGGTTCAATCCCCGGTACCCCAAAAAACAAACAACCCTGTGAGGGAGGCTGAGTCCCACTCTGCAGATGAGCGGCTGGGGCTGGGGCGCTGCGGGGAGCTCTTCTTGCACAGCGAGAGTTTCCCAGCCGCCAGCGTCAGGGCCTGACCACTCCTCCACGCTGCCTGCTGGGCTTTGCGTCCAGCCTCACACCATCCCAAATTGCCTTTCAGGCTCCAGGCAGGCTGGAATGTCCACCCCAGCGGTCAGCCCGACAGACAGAGGAAGCAGGAAGAGCTGACGGACGAGGAGAAGGAGATTATCAACAGGGTGATCGCTCGAGCTGAGAAAATGGAAGAGATGGAGCAGGAGAGAATCGGGTGAGGCGCGGGGTGCAGGGGCGGGTCTGGGCTGCCTCGGGGCTCTGGCACGTGTGACTGGCAGGTGCAGCGCACCCAGACGGCGGAGTGGGGGCTATGGGCAGGGGGCGCAGCTGAACAGGAGAAACAGCGCCTGCCCTCCTAGAGCGCAGGGACGGTGACTGTGCTCAGCAGCGAGTCCACTATGTCAAAATAGCGAGCAGGAGGATTTGAACCTCGAATGAATTCTGTAAGAGGACGGGGGCCCATCACAGGTCCCCACTTGGCTGTTGTGGGTCCTGGGCCTGTGGCCTCTGCCCTCTGTGCCCGGAGTGGCAGGATGGGGGAAGGAACCCCCACTGGCAGGCTAGGGGACGGAATCCAGGTCCCGGTCCAGGTCCCCCTGCGCCCTGTGCTTAGTGAGCAGGAGGGGAGAACTCGGTGGATGGCAGAGAGGCCAGGCTGATAGGAAGCAGGTGTGGCGTGTGCAGAAGAGAGTGACGAAATCCAGGAGCAAAGACAGCGCTAGGGACATGGATGGCACATGGGTGGGCTGGAGAAGGGGCAGCCGGGGAAATGTGGGTGATCACAGGGTGAGGGGGTGACCTAGAGAAAAGGGGAGACAGCGGTGGGGGCCTCTTGAAGTGGGCGGAAACTGGGTGCTCGGACGCAGAGAGGCCGGCAGAGGGCTCCCAGAGACCTGGGTCTCAAGTGGGAAATTTGAGGGTGCAGTGAAATGAGAACCCCACCCCAGGCTCTTCCGGCAGCAGCCGCCGCTGCCAGCCACTGACAACCTCTGCCGCTGACCCCCCTCGGGCACACCCAGCGGGGGGTTAACCAGGTTCTTGGAGGAAAATGATGTTCCCCAGACGCAGGATGTGGGTGACTTTGATTTCAGTTTCGGCAGACACTTTTATGTGGGGCTGGCTGGGGAGATCAGAGACGCTGTTGACAAAGGACAGACTCCTGCAGCCCGGCACGTTCTCGCTGTGTGCTTCCTCCCCAGAGGGGCTCCTATGGGCTCAGCAGCTCTGCTCAGGTTGGATTCCTATTTGTATTTTAAAAGACATTTTAGGAGTGAGGAGTTCTGCAGGCCACAGGTGTGAAAGTGTGTGTGTGTGTGTTTACTGACCCCTCGTACAGCCACAGGCCTCAGCCTGCAGGCATGAAGGTCAAGTCTAGCCTCTGGAAGCAAATGTTCCTCTCACTCTTTTTCCTGCAGAGCACTTCCCACCAGCTACCATATTTAACACTCTATATATTTAATTTGATTACTGTATGCCACTCTGGATGGATCAAATATGAGAGTCCCCAAAGTAGGGGGCTCTGATAGAACCTGGCACATAGTAGGTGCATAGCAATATACCTTTTAGAGTGAATGAATGAACTTGGCCCACCATGCTGCCTGCCAGTTTCTCTGCGCATCCCCTGTGGCCCAGGGAGTTTAGAATCTAGGGGGGGGGTCCAAATTCCCAGGGAGAGTTCTCTGATTGGCTGGCACATGTCACGTGATATTCCCTCCTCCAATCAGCTGCAGCCAGGGATAAGAGCCCAGGTTGTATCACTTTGGGAGGTCAAGTTGAGAGCATCCCTGGGGACTGAGCAGATTCCAGCTTGGGCCTTTGACAACAGGGTAGGTGTGGCCCTGCTCTGGTCTCCATGGCCTGGCACATTCTCCCACCAAGTGGCAGCAGACCACAGTGGTTAGCGACTGAGGACCCGAAGTTAGAACTGGGTTGAAACTGGATCTGTCACTCATTCTGCATGGGATCTTAGGTAAACCAGGTTATTTCCCTGTGCCTCAGTTTCCTCACCTGCAAGGTGGAGGGCACTTCCGCAGGTACTTCTTGGTGAGTAATGGATTAGCATGCAAAGGACTGTCAGGGCTTTGCCCTGGTCACATGCTCAGTGGACAAGGGCAACTTCTTAACAGCGAGTTAAAGGAGAGAGAGAGGAGGCTCATTTTTGACGCTAAGTGAAGCCTTGGTTTACAATCAAGCCTGGGAATTCTGCAGCCTCTGGCTTCCCCTGAAGGAGACGTGATAAGCCTCCAGGGAAGCTCCGTCAAATCCCTGCCGACAGAGTGTACCTTTGCTGAGGCCGTGATTTCTGCCTGGCTTCCCCGAGTCCGGGGGACAGTCTTGGAAGATTCTGGCTGCGGCTGTCTCTCTGCACCTCCCAGCAGCAGCCCGTACTGGTAGCATTGCCAGAGGCAACCCCGGTGCTATTTGTGTCTTCTAAGCTCCCACCTGCCCTCCTTCCTGCTCCACCCACCCTTCCACAGGAGGGGATCAGAGCAGAGTTGGATAAAAGTGGAGTGAGACATCAGACCTGGAGGAAGACGGGAAGAGGGGTGCCATCTGGGCTCCCGCTGTAGAACCTGAGGCGCTCAGTGAACAAGACGTCAGGAGCCCAGCTTCTCACCCATCCACAGTGGGGCTGCTCCAGGGGGGGGACCCCACCCTGCATGGTTGACTGAGCTCTTGAAGCAAAGGAGCCCTAACTGATAAAATGGCAGGAGTGTGTGTCCGTGCCCCCTTCTGGCCCCAGATCCCACCTCGGCAAGGCTGGATTTTCTCTATTACCTGAGGCGAAGTCATCATAGTAAGGTATAGGATCATTATTAACAAACATGACAAATACTCATCATAACAGGTACTGCTTACTGAGCACTTACTATGTGCCAAGTGCTATCATTGTAAAACCTCATTGGAAGGAACTCCTTAACTCCAGTTCTCTGATTCCCTCCATTACCTGTTACAACGTAACAACCTCCCAACCCTATCAAGTATATCCTATTATCCTCTCGTTTTTCAGATGAGGAAAGTGAGAATTAAGTTGTTTGGGTCACTTCTCCAAGGCCACAGAGAGGCAAGGTACCCATCCCTCTCTGGCTGACTCTCAGAACTATGCTCTTAACTATGAGACATCTTTCCTCAAAACCTGTCACCCTATTCTTGGACTCTGTATGACCCGAAATTTTTAAGAGCCCAGGTTTGGAGGGGACAGTTTGGGGGCTGGAGGTAGGACCCTCTTCCATGCCTGCCCAGTGATTCTTTGTTGTATTTATCAATCAGTCACGGTCATTGCTGCCAGAGCTGGCCCTGTGCTGTGCCACTGTGTCCAGAGAGCTCCAGGGGGAAGGGTATTCAGACTCTCCAGCTCCATGGGTAGCTTCACTAGCATTGGCCATTCTGGGGGCCCTGGAGCGCAGGCCCACCTCAGACCAGAGCTGCCTTCTCCTGGAGCCCCGAGCATCTGTCAGACCATCACTCACCGCAAGCCTCAACCTGGCTCTGCCCCCGTTAGCATCCAAGGAGGGGAAGTGAGGTCCAGGAAAGAGACTCATTAAGTGGCGTCACTTTGCCCTCACGGTCCTTACTCAAGTCTAAGCGGGATCCTGGGGCTTCTTCGGCACCCCTGGCTGTGACCAACTTTCTATATGTTTGATGCGAGGCATTGCTTTCAAGAATTAGAAAAACAAATCCAGACAAGTCACCCCCATTACCTGTTACAACGTAATAAACCATCCAGACGTACAGACTTAAAGCCACCGCAGTCTTGTACCCCATGAGGGGAAGAGCCTGGGCAGGGCTCCGCCCAGCAGGATTCCGCTGTGCCAGGGGTTGGCTGGGGTTACTTCCCTTGCTGCTCCCAGCTGGTGGCTGGGCTGAACTGGGTCCCTGTCCTGGGCCACATGGCCACCTCTCTCTGTGTGTGATCTGTCCTTATTCAGTAGCCTGGCCCCGGCACCTTGACACGACAGCTAGATCCCAGGATAGGTGGGAGTTGTTGGGTCTCTTAGATGACGGACACCTTTTCCACCACATTCTATCATAGAGGGGGAGATAGACCCCATCTCCCTGTGGAAAGAACAGCATGTGTTTCCAGGGATGAGGCCATTATTGGGAACCATCTTTAAAGACTCTCACACTATGTAAAAGCAGAAATTTAATATAAGAATTCAGATGTATCAGCGGAGCCAAGGAGGACATGGTCTGCCTCAGGAAAAGCCTGCTTCTCACCCCCAGTGGGAGAAAACACACCCAGGCCACTCATCCTCGGCTTCTATAGCTCTTCTTGGTCCTAATTCCAAACTCTCAGGGAAGGAGCTCTGATTGGCCCAGTTCACCCTCTTTGTCTGCCCCTCAACCAATCAGCTGGGGCTACAGGTACCAAGCGTAACTGCTGCTAAGGGCTTCAAGTCCAAAAGGCCTCAGTGAGCAGGAAAGCCAGACGTGGGCTGTCCACGGGGCTTTTAGGATGTATTGAGTCTGGGGGTGTCTCTGTGTCCCCATCCTATGGCTCTCTGTCCAGAGCCTCCCAGAGACATCTGCTTGTGTATCCTGCTCGTCCACGGACAGACTGGCAGCTGGGTAGCTTCTACCTGAGGTCAGCTTCCCTCAACAGATGGCCCCCAAAAGTAATTAGGATTTGTCATTAACCTTGGCGACCAGACACAGTGATGGAGAAGGAAGTCGGAGGGACAGAGAGAGACCTGTCATGGACAGAAGATGCTGCACTCCATCCACCTCCCCACCTGGGCTCCCCCACGCCCCATCCTGGCACAAAACGTTTCTAAACTATGGACAGAGGACAAAGTCATTAGTGACGGCTGAAACTTGCTGCACCCACCGATGTCAGCGCCTTCCCCAGGTGTGACAAGGAGATCGTGAACGCACCCCGCTCTCCTCTTCCTAAAAGAGGACACCCCCCCCCGCCCCTGCCCAACCTAGTTCTAGACGCTCCATGGATAGGATTCAGAGGTTTGGGGCTCGCCAGAATCATAGGCTCATTTATGCATGTTCACATGGGCATTTTCAGAAGACATATTCAGAGATCTCATCATGTTTGGGGGGAGCGCTGAACCCCCCCCAGGGCTGAGAACCAGTCTCCCCAGGGATTAGAGCAGTGCACTCCAACACCCACCGCGCCCCACCCTGTGCTTCAAAGAATCGGCCTTAGATGCCAACGAGAGCTTTCTGAATTCCACAACCAGCACAGCGCCTGCCACCGAGGAG